GGGGAGTCCCCCCTTGGCTGAGGGGTCCCTGAAGGGATTGGGGGGGGCTGGAGGCACGGAAGGGTCGGGCATTGGGAGGGGGGGGCGCCCCCTCCCCCCGAGATTTGGGGGGGGGGGGGGGCCCCCCCTTCCTCTGAGGCCTCAGGGAAGGACTGGGGGGTCACCCCCGCCTGCCGGACCCTGCTACCCCCCCGGCACGGGGCTCACCGGCAGCTCGGAGCTCCCCCAAGTCCCCCTCCCGCCCGGGGCTCACCGGCAGCTTGGGGCTGACCTCGCCCTTGCAGCTGTGGCAGAAGAACCGGTGCTGCGGCACCGCCGCCGCCTCCGCCATCTTCGCCCGCCGTCACTCCTCCGGGGGGGGCCACAGAGCGCGGCCCAGAGCGGCCCCGCGCTTCCGCTCAGCTCGTCTGCTCCGCTGCCATCGGGGAGAGCGAGGACGGGAGGATAGAGCGGCCCCGCGGGGCTGGGGGCGTGCAGTGCGCCCCCTGCTGTAGGTCCTCCCAAGGAGGGCCGGCGGCAGCGGCGGCGGCGGAAGTGGAGGAAGCGGAAAGGAGTAGAAAGCGGAAGTGGCCGTTGCCATGGCGGCGGTTGCGGCCTAGGCCGGGCCTGGGGGTGAGTGCGGGGAGAGTCCGGGACCCCTGAGGGGGAAGCAGTGGAGATTCCCGCCTGGAGAGGGGCGGGAGGGGCGCCGGTATCCCTGTGACACGGCTGATTCCCCCCAGGAGGGGACACAGAGAACCCCGGGGGGGGGGGACACGGGTCAACATCTGTCCCCTCTCTTTCCCCCTCACCCCCCAGCTGTTCTTTCCCCACCACGTTCCTGGGATTCCTGGGAGCCGCCGGGATGACGCAGGCGGAGCTGCGGCTCTGCTCCCTGCTGCTCCAGGAGCACTTCGGGGAGATCGTGGAGAAAGTCGGGAATTCCCTGCTCCGGACGGGCCCGCGGCCCCTGCGGCTCCTGGTGGGCGACACGGGGCTGCTCCCGGATCAGGTACGGGATGGGAGGGGGCCAGAGGGGGAAACCGCTGGGAAAACCTGGAGAAGGACGAGGAATTTTTAATAACAGTAACTCAGAGGGTTTTCTGGAGTGGGAGGTTTGTATCTCCCTGGAAAACTTCTTTGGAAAGGAGGAGAGAAACTCTGAGTCTCCATAGAGAGGAAAGACGAGGATAAACTGATGGGAAAACGTGGAGAAGGACAGGAATTTTTAATGAGATAAATCAGGAGTGGGAGGTTCGTGTGTCCTTGGAAAACTTGAGGAAGAAGGAGGGAAACTGGTGCTGTGTAGGGAGCAAAAGAATCCAGGGACAGGGATAGATGGGGGAGAGAAGGACAAAACATTTGGAATGAAATAAATCAAGAAGGGGGAATTTTCCCGGAGCGGGAGGTTTGTGTTCCCCCAAAAGGGAAGGAGGGGGGAAATTGGGATTCTCCATGAGGAAAACAGGGATCTGGGCGGGGGGAAAAGTGGGATCCCAACCTTCCCGCTCCCTCCTGCAGGTGAAGAAGGCCCTTTGTGTCCTGCTCCAGCACGACCTGGTGCGGTACGAGGTGCAGCCCCGCGGATCCGTGGAATACGAGGCGCGGGGCGAGCGGATCCTGCGGATCCTGCGCTACCCCCGCTACATCTACACGGCCAAGACGCTCTACGGGGACCCCGGGGAGCTGCTGGTGGAGGAGCTGCTGCTCCACGGCCACCTCTCCATGAGCTGCGCCGTGGCCAGGGTGGCCGATCGCCTCACCGAGACCATG